CAGGAAGAGGCAGGGGCTGGGGCTTTGCTGTGTCTTTGGCATTGACCAACCAGAAAGGTGCTTGCGCTTGGTTCAGTGTCCTTACGAGTCAGCCTGAGGGCACGTGAATCCCTGCACTGCCCGCCACGTGATTACCAGTAGAGCCCGGGGGAGAGCTGCAGTTCAGAGACAGACTGGGGCCGGACAGTTTTCCAATTAAAAAAAACCTCAGTGACTCTGAAGGACTTCTGCCACGAAAACCGAAGCAGCAGATTCAGAGAGGTGTCGGATTTGCCTAAAGCCATCCAGCCAGCTGGTGGCAAAGGCTCAGTAAAAGGCGTAAACAGGGAGCAGATGCCCAATTGCTGGGTTTTTGCCTGAGGGCTAGACAAAAAGTGTTATGAATCCTTGACTTATTTATACAGTCAAGAGCATGCCTAGAGCTGCCTGTGTTTTTGGCAAACTCTGCTCCTTATTTTTATCCTGCTTATTACCTGCAGGAGATATTTTGAGGCACCTGCACCAATGACTAAGTATTAAATCCATGCCAGCACACGAGCCACTGCCACGGCAGACATCACTCACCTCCCTCTCTGCTGCTCCAGGGCCTCAGAAATCTCTGAACACGTGCTCCAAGCAGTGGGGGACACGCAGGGGTTGAACCTTACTTAATTGGCGTCTCTATTCCTAGCTTCTTCTAGGAATATGTAGGTTGGCTACGGAGGATAACTAACTTTCTTCTTTTGGGGGGACGCTGGTGTTTGAATGGTACCCTAGGAATGGGAGAAGAAAGGAGCAAGTTAGGAAACAAACTTCATCTACAGACTCTCCTGTCAATATGGACCTTGGTGACCATCCTGCTTCGTTACAGCCTTCGTTAAAGCAGCAACTCTGTAAAAGGGTGAGTCTGTTTACAAGAAAAAGGAAGGACTGGGGTTCTATGAATGGAAAACTTCGGCTAGGAGGAGGCTCTGTCCCTTTGCAGAGCCAAAGGAAGTAATACGACAACAGCAACAAAAAAGACTTGTTTGGAGACCTAAGTCTATTGGTTGTAAACATTACATTGATGTATTTAGGGGTATTCTGTGTGTCTTCCTTGAAGTTTTCAGCAATTGCCTTATCAAGCTTTTTAAGTGAAAAGATTCTGATGTGGAGACTCTGGTGGAAGAGAAATTAAGGTAGCAGGGCCCTGTCCCACTGGTCCCATGGCTTTGGTGATTGAGGAGGTCTAAACCCCTATCTGATTCTTAGCAGCGTCAGGGGTTAAACCGTCCTTGTCTTCAACTGTGTAAAAGCCATCTATGGTTTTTTGAGAAACGGTAACGGGACAAAACATTTGGGACCAAGCTGAGGCACGGCTGCCAGTAAAATAAGGACTTTTTTCAGGCTAAAGCAGGCCAGAACCAATTGCTTTTAAATAAAATTTTAAGTGATGCTGTATTACATAGAAAAAACATGTTTCAAATCCTGTAGTTTAGAACAGTGAAAAGTGTCTGTTGAGATTTAACTGACATTTTACATTACCATAGAAACAAGATTACCCTGTGTTTACAGATTCAGTCCTGCGGTGAGGCGATTTCTAAGAGGAGAGTTACTTAGTATAATCTTCTCTTAGTCCCTGTTTTTTTAAGCTGTGCTCGATGTCCAGGCCCTTTCCAAGAAAAAAGGGGCGAGTTTTGTTTCTGGTGGTCTCTTTCTTCTCTTAAAATTGGCAGTGCTGTTATTTGTGTTGCCCGTTCTTCTCTTCTGATGGCACTGGTTAACACAGGTTGGAACATCTCACCTGTCATCTCTCAGCCTCATTTCTGGGGGTTCTGAATCAGAGTTCTTTAACACTGGTTCCTGAGAACTAAAGGTCTTCTGAGTCTTATTGTCTTTCTAATCCCAGGGCATTTATTTCCTTTGTCATAAACACTTGGTGTCCCAAGTGGTGAGTTAGTTTTTTTCTTTTTTTTTTTAAATAATAAAATGTTAATTGTATTTTGGATTTTCTTGTATTTCATGGAACGACATGGGGCAAGGCCTGGTAGACTTCTGCTTCAAGGGGGGAAACATCATGGTTATTTATGCACTGAACTTCCAACTATGTGCAGTAAAAACTGGTAGAACTACAAGGTGGGATCTTAGCAGGAGACTTTAAGCCTCCTTAAATCAAGTAGCATAGGTAAGGCTGAAAGATTTTAATAGTAAAATTAACACAAGGGAAACATCTTTAGAGGCTGATCATACATAAGTGACTGAAAATCAGTACTCCTAGAAATTAAACATACTCCTAAATAATTCTTGGGGGGAAAAAAAAGGTACCAGTACTTGGAAAGTTGCCTTAGTAGTAGTAATTAAGAAAATTTATAGCATAAACATGCTGGTTTTAAAAATGACAAAACCAGGGCTTCCCTGGTGGCACAGTGGTTGAGAATCTGCCTGCCAATGCAGGGGACACAGGTTCGAGCCCTGGTCTGGGAAGATCCCACATGCCGCGGAGCAACTGGACCCATGAGCCACAATTACTGAGCCTGCGCATCTGGAGCCTGTGCTCCGCAACAAGAGAGGCTGCAATAGTGAGAGGCCCGCACACCGCAATGAAGAGTGGCTCCCGCTCGCTGCAACTAGAGAAGGCCCTCGCACAGAAACGAAGACCCAACACAGCCAAAAATAAATTAATTAATTAAAATAAAAAATGACAAAACCAAATCTCTGGCTCATTGAAAAGGCGAATACAATAAAAAGACAACCTAGGGCAGTATTAAATGGCAGAACTGAAAAGGAGGCCTTAAGTACAGATACTGACAAGACTTTTTAAATTACAAGAAAACACTATGAATATAGCAGCTTGAAAGTCTGAGGACTATATATTTTTCATTTAGAAAGTTAGAATTTTGTATCAGAGCTATGCTAACACACATTGCAAAAGAAAATCTCATTTTTGAACACAGATGAAAATAAGCTTTAAAGTATTGGCAAATGAAATTCAACAGTGCTTAAAGGATCACGTATTGTGACCAGACAGCATTCATCCAAAAAATCAAAGGTGATTCAACAGAAAATATACTAATGGGTAATTTATCACATTAACTGATTAAATGTGAAAAAACATCTTCTGAAAGGAAGCAGAAAAGCAAACCACAAATCTCAACACTCCTAATAAACACTCTTGGTAAGCTAGGAATAGAAGTAAACATTCCTTATCAAGTAATCCACAGAAAATAACATATAATGATGAAAAAGTCCCTTCAAGAACCAGATGCATGCTGTTACCACTACTTAAAAAATTATTCTGAAGGTTCTAGACAATGCAAGATGACAAGAAAAAGCAGTATAAAATTTCAAAAGGAAGAGACAAACCTGTTATTACTTATAAATGGTGTCTTTCTAAAAAAGCAAGAGAATCGGGCTTCCCTGGTGGCGCAGTGGTTGAGAGTCCACCTGCCGATAACAGGGGACACGGGTTTGTGCCCTGGTCCGGGAAGATCCCACATGCCGCGGAGCGGCTGGG